ACTGTTCTCCTCACTGTCTTCCTCTCTGTCAGACATGGTAGCTAATGATGTAGGCCTACTACTTTCTCTCTGGTTGAGTCTGTGATTAGCTGCTTGCATCCACAAGTCAACAGCTGGGTTTGGGTCGAAAGTCTCTGTCATCTTAGACAAGTGGATGTAATCACATAAGTATGTGAACATAACCAATAACCTACCATAGCCAATAACAAATTAATGTAACTTATTTTATTGTTGTTGTTCATTCATATCTTATTTTACCTTAACATTATATATTTATGCATTTTTTGTTATCTTTCCAGTTTTAAAGGATATTTTTGGTTACTGTCCTATAGTATACATTGGAATGATTTAAAACCTGTTTATCCCAATAATTATAAAGGAGTGCCTTGAAAATATGTGTTTACATAAATTGTGATCAAAACGTTTGAGACCCACTGAGACAACTTAGACTAAAGTGAACTATCTAAACACTCCACAGTCCTTTACCTCACTGAGCTGTAGTATCAGCCTCAGTCTGACTGGAGAGGACTCTCCCTCCACATTAATGTAGAAACATCTTCTTCTTCCGTTAGAGCAGCTAGCACCAGATGCTAATAACAACAGCGCCGGAACCGGTGCACCCTCCCTCTCTCCCTTGCTCACTCACACTTTGGCTGTGAGCTGCGGGTGCCAGATAAGCCAACATCCCCCATTTTCATCACTTACAGCGCCCATCATACAGGGCGAAATGAAACGTGTAACCGGGGTGAAAAGGGTGTTACATTGACTTAATTATGAATGTTGTTACATCAAGGCCGAAAATTAGGATGAACCCCAACGGTCAAAAAATAGTTTTTCCCTCCCAGAGCTGTCAGCGCAGCGCCTCCCCGGATCTGGCGCCCTAGGCGAACATCTATTACGCCAGTGCTACGGAGCCGACCCTGAGTTCATATGCAACTTGCAAATATCTTTCTCTCTCTCCTCTCTTCTCTCTCCTCTCTTCTCTCTTTCTCTTCTCCCTTCTGTCTCTTCTCTCTCTCCTCTCTCTCTCTCAATGTTGGTACGCAAATGCGCCTTTTTTCAAAATGACCCGGTGCTCATTTTTTGGCGGAGGTGCGCATGCGCACCTGCGCACCAGTTATGTGCAGCCCTGTATATATTCGTGAAATCTTGAACACATGGTAGCTTTAGATGTCAGGGGGGAAATACAATCAAAATTATTATTTTTTAAAAGAACTCAAACATGATGTGTTCAATATTACGACAGTACTCTTTTTGAAAATAATACATAAAAAGGTCGAAATTGTGCATCAGTTTTTGAGCAAATCATATTATGAGCGACATAATGTGCAAACTTTACATTTTATACCTAAAATATGTGCAAAGTATGTGTTTCATCACATTTCCGCCAAATATTGCTATGTAAATGATATCTTCGTTATTGTTTTTATGTATCTTGTCTCGCTCTATAAATCACTTTGGGCTGCATCTTGCTTGAAATGCGGTGTATAAATAAAGTTATTATTAGGGCCCGAGCACAGAGCGCTAGGACCCGACGGCGTCCTAGCACGAAGTGCAAGGAACCTATTGTTATTGGTGGAATTATTATTTTTCTGCTGGCGTTTCCTGTTTTTGAGGCTTTTAGGATGCTGACAAAGTTGTATAATTTTGCACGGACGTGAGGACTGGTGAAAAATACAATATTCTGGAGTCAATGGGTTAAATATTCCAACGTGCTCGCTAGCGCCACCTATGAAAAACCCATTTCGGAATAAATGTACAAAGTCGCACCGTAACTCCAAATGACCTGAAATTTTGCACACATATCCGGGTGGACCTGCTCTACAAATAATCCTCCTGGAACCCTAAGCTCCGCCTACATTTTTTAAAATTTAAATTAGCATAATGTTCAAAACAGTTAAATATTCACTTAAATTTCAATTTTCAGTTTTTCAACACCAAACTTCGTATACAGCATCGGTGGCGGGTCAGACACATTACCCTAGGAGATGAGCATGTTAGGACGATAAAAATGGTCACCGTCAATCAAAACGTACACGCAATAAGGCGGGGCTTAGAAAGAAATGCTCATAAATCATCAACAATATATCCAAACATCACACATTTTGGTAGATAGGTTCAATCTGTGTTGGGGAATAGGCACACCAAATACTTTATATTTTGGACTATTGGGGGCGCCAAAAACACCACCAATTTATAACTCAAGAACGGATGGACGAATATTTTTATTTATTTTTTACACATACTCTGGGGGTGACTACGAACTGAGATATAAAGTGTCGCAACAAATCCAGAATGTGGGCGTGGCCTATATATTTTTTTTAAATTGCGATAGCATAAAATGAGCTTCGGACGCAAAACTTGGAACACACGTCAGAGCCCACAACTTTTTCGAGAATGTAAAAAAAAAACGTAATCTTTCAAAAAAACTGCTCACTAGCGCCCCCTATTGTGTGGTAGTCACATATAGTTTCTCAGAACTTCACGAATTTTGGTACAGACATTCCTCATGGAATTGCGGACATATTTGTAAATAGAATCCATTAGCCCCGCCCCCCAGGAAGTCGGCCATTTTGAAAGATGGGCCTTTTTCATGCATTTTAAGCACATTCTTGCGAACTCCTCCTAGGGGAATGATTGGAAAAATTCCAGTCCAACACAAGTTCAGCCCCTATCCAACATGATGCTAAATTGAGAAGAACATTTTTGATAGCTCAATCGTGGAGGTCGTAAGCTAACAGCGAATACACCATTTTTGACGATTTACATGTCGCAAATTACTCCAAACTACTCGGATATAGTTATTCCGATATTCACGAAACGCTATATACACATTGCTATTATGATTGCACACATATTTCTAATTGCCTTCTATTAGCCCCGCCCCCCAGAAAGTCGGCCATTTTCAAATATGTGCGTTTTTCAGCCATTTTAAGCACATTCTTGTGAACTCCTCCTAGGGGAATGATCGGAAAAATTCCAATGCAGGACAGGTTCAGCCCCTGGCGAATGTCATGAAGAATTGTGGATTACATTTTTGATAAATCAATCGTGGAGGTCGTAAGCTAACAGCTAATACACCATTTTTGACGATTTACATGTCGCAAATTACTCCAAACTACTCGGATATAGTTATTCCGATATTCACGAAACACTGTATACACATTGCTATTATGATTGCAGACATATTTAAAATTGGCTTTTATTAGCCCCTTCCCCGACAAAGTCGGCCATTTTCAAAAATGTTCGTTTTTCATGCATTTTAAGCACATTCTTGCCAACTCCTCCTAGGGGAATGATCGGAAAAATTCCAATCCAGGACAAGTTCAGCCCCTATCCAATATGATGCTAAATTGCAAAGAACATTGTTGATAAATCCATTGTGGAGGTCGTAAGCTAACAGCTAATACACCAGTTTTGACCATTTACATGTCGCAAATCACTCCAAACTACTCCAAATTACTCGCATATAGTTTTTCCCATATTCACGAAACGCTGTATACACATTACTATTATGATTGCACACATATTTCAAATTGCATTTCATTAGCCCCGCCCCCGAGAAAGTTGGCTATTTTGAAAGATTTGCGTTTTTAATGCATTTTAAGCATATCTTTGCTAACTCTTCCTGGGGAAATGATCGGAAAAATTCCAATCCAGGACAAGTTCAGCCCCTATCCAATATGATGCTAAATTGCGAATAAATGTTTTGAGAGCTCAATCGTGGAGGTCACAAGCTAACAGCGAATACACCATTTTTGACGATTTACATGTCGCAAATTACTCCACACTACTCGCATATAGTTTTTCCGATATTCACGAAACGCGTTATGCACATTGCTATTATGATTGCGGACATATTTCAAATTGCCTTCCATTAGCCCCGCCCCCCAGGAAGTCGGCCATTTTGAAAAATGTGCGTTTTTCATGCATTTTAAGCACATTCTTGCAAACTCGTCCTAGGGGAATGATCGGAACTTCAGCGCATATCCAATGTCATGCTACATTGAGAAGGAATAGTCCTTCGCTCAAACGGGGAGCTCATAGGCTAACGGAGAATGTACCATTTTTGACCAATTATATGTCAGATAAGCTACTGAGGCCTGCCTGTTTGCCTGGCACATCAACTCTCTCACACACACACACACACACACACACACACACAAACAAACACACACACCACACACACACACACACACACACACCTACTGTTACTCCAAAAACACTCTTTGCTGGCGGCATATTCATTACAACAGACACCTATACACTCCCTAACCCTAACCCTACTGTTTATTTCTAGATATCTCCTAAAGCCTACAAATAAAGTGTGACATGTAGGCCTGTTACATTTATTAGTGAGTGATATATATTATACGCACTGTTTTGCTTTCTGCACTGACCTCAGCAGCTGTTCTCACTGTAACATCACCTAACATCCAGGGGACATGTGATTAGTGAGTAAACAAACGGTAAAGGGCAGAAAGTCTGATGCACATTTGATCATCTCAAATAACTTATAATCACAACGGGAACAGTTTGCAGAGCTGTGCTTCGTTGACAGAAGTCCAGCCATGCGTCACACCTCTTTTAAACATCACTGTTGGCTGGAATCGTCTCAGGAGAATACTTCAGTGTACCCTCGGTTATAGCTCCTCTAGAGACACTCCTCTCTCCTCTAAATCAGTGTATCCTCGGTTACGGCTCCTCCAGACAGCCTCCTCGATAATCGATCCTCTACGACCCTTTAGAGAAATTTGTTTTCCTTCGAGACGGCGCGCCGACATCCGTTTCCGGGTCGCTGCCGGAGGACCTGAGAGTCTGGGACGCGAAAATCATAGAAATGAGAAAACGGCTCATTTCCCAGGAATCGCGCACGTCTGCTTGACGCCGGGACGACCGGCTGCCCTCCCCGACAGGCGCACGGACGCGAGGGCCCGCTCATCACTGCGTGCACAAGTGCGACCGCAGTTTTAATTATTGTTGTTATTGTCTGTGTGCAGGTGCAGTGGGTGACGGGCGTCGGCCATGACAGGCACCTGTCCGTCACTGTGAACGCTCCCAGCAGCCTCATCATGGCCACTGTTGATGATGCAAAGGGTCAGATCAACTTTGAGACCGAGGAAACGGGTAGACACACAATAATGTTGATGCATTTCATAACACACACACACACTGTTATTTTTTATCAATTAATTAATAGTGAAATTAGATGTTTCCGCATCATTTTCAGAGGTTGATACGACAAGCAAAAGCATATTAAAATACATATTTTACATGATATTAATTTAATATGCTATTCCTTGCACACTTGCATAATATCCAGCTTTTACATTTTTTTTACTGTATTTTGGCATTTATTAGACAGAGCCTACAGATTTCTATCTTTCACTCTCAACCTTCCCTTTTTAACATGCTGCTGTGACAGAGAAACACTGTCCCAATTTGGTATCAATAAAGTAAATAAACGAAATCCTATGTTATACTTAAGTATAACTTCAAGGTTTATTTGAGTATGTCCATTTTCTGCTTCCTATTCTTCCACTTCAATACTTTTTTGAGGCAGATTTGTTTGTCTTTTACTCCACTACATGTGTCTGAGAGCTTTAGTTAATCTGCAGAACAAATCCATGTTACGTTTTTTTTATGGATTAAGAAATAACCTTATTGATTGTTTTTGTTAAACAGCAGTGTATAGTACGGAGCCCTGGAGGGTTCATAGAGAGAAAAATAAATGCAACGTGGCCACGTTTTACTTTCTCGTGCGCACGCTTTAGTAACTCGTGCGCACGAGTTACTTTCTCGTGCGCACGAGTTACTAAAGCGTGCGCACGAGTTAATAAAGCGTGGCATCGTTTTATTTAAATTGAGGGATTCCTGTCCGTGACTCACAGTATCTGCCCACAGCTGTTTTATAGAAGGAAAACCTCCTTCACTTTATGAAATCTCTGCGGCACCAGTGGCCTGTACTACGAAGCAGGATTGGCTATTTACACTATTCATTCATGAAGTATGACGCTGCGCTGTCAGCACGCGTCTCCATGTTTGTCTCCATCGCGTTTGTTTGGGTCAGTTAAGCCGGGTAAATCGAACATATCCAGGTCCAGGGTCTGTTGAACTGGCTTCGTCGTACAGGGCACTGGAGGCAGTAATGTGTAACTCAGCAGAATCTGAGAAGAGCAGCACCAGCTGCAAAGAGCTGTGCCTTTTACTGTTTACTTCACTGCGTTTCCCTTCATTAGAACCGCTGAATAGAGATCACAGATTAAAAATACAAATAAAGTCCCCTGGTTTGTCTCTAGAGTCTAACTGCCATGAGAAAAATCCAATCAATGTTCCAAAATCCGTCACTACATGCCGCTCATTGTACCAATACGGTTTATATAATAACATATTATTATTATAGTAAAAGGGCTCGCTTTGGCAAAAACCTGAACCATACAGGCAGCCCTAAAAAATAACAAGTAACCATCATGTGTGGTGCTATCTGGAGTTGTCTGTCTTGTTTTTTGTTGATGTCATATTGTTTTCACAGTGCTGTGGAAATGAATTTCCCCCTGGGGACAAATCAAATCAATGTTCCAAAATCCGTCACTAGATGTCGCTCATACCATGTACCAATACGGTTGATATAATACAGATTACCACAACAGTGCTGTGGAAATGAATTCCCCGTGGGGACAATACATCTAATCTAAACTAATTTAATATTCAATCCCACACTTAGCGATTGAGAACATAAATTCGTAACTTACCTCGTTTAAAGCACTTTTGTTGTAATCAAGGGGCAAACTCTGGGGAATAGCCGGGACGCCAATACGGAAGTGCCACACACTGCAGTTCAGTGACGTGCGGTGAGGTTCATGGCTGGTGAGGTACTGACTCTTTCAGAGTCAGATTTACAAATATTATATTTTGACCTTAATCGAAATATTCGGTTATTTTCAAAAGCTTTTTTAGTCTGATGCTTCAATTCATTTTAAACAGACCATTCAACAAAAGGATATGCCTACCCACAATTTAAATATTGGATTGTTCTTTCTTAGTAAGATCCCATTTGCATTACAATTGTGGTCTTACCTTGACTTGAAGATTAAGTCCATGCTATCCTTCTGGACAACAATCTCTATTACTTTTTTGTAAAAGTCCTCCTTATCTTCCTCTAGTTTCAAAAGTCTAGTTTGTTGTTCGCGTCTACCGCTACTGTCCCTGCGTAGAATAACAGTAGCAACAGGAACCTGTGGGCTCACTTGCGCCCCCTTCAGTGCGGCAGAGGTTATGGCTGCCTCCCCTGGTGCTTTTGTCATTGCCGTTGTATGATGAGACCAGCGAGCCTAAATATCATATATATATACGTGAAATAAGTTATTTAGAGACTATGGATGGCGAGAATAAATGTAATAAAGCGATCTACAAACATTACATTGGTGACATACAGTGAGATGGTGCAGGCATGCGCTTAGGGCCCGCTTTCCAGCCAGTTTCTGTGGGGTGACGCATTCTGAGGTGAGGCAGAGCTCATCTGTGCCTCACCTCACCACACAGTAACAGGCTTGAGCGCGCTCACAAAATAAGTGCCCGCGCTAAATTAGTGCCCGCGCTCCAGCCAGTTACTGTGGGCTTACGAGAGGCAGAGCTCGTCCCTGCCTCACTTCTCATCGCTACTCGTAGTTGTAGCGGAGCTCGGCAAATTTGCTTATTTTGACTATAAAAAGCGATTGGAATCATACAGAAATCACATTTACAAAACAGATCAGTGGAGACATGTTATTATTATTACTATTTAGTTTTTCTTTAGTTGTTTTTCCGTTACATTGGAGTATGACAGGTGAGGCTCTGCCTCCCCTGACTGAACGTCGCTGCTGCAGTTCATATATATTGGCCGATAGGCGATGGCTGCAGAAAGGAGCAATTTCCATAGACCCCCCTGTTAAAATGGCCAATTTTACAGCAGAAAAAAACATGTTTCTACCCCTGGCTCCATACATTTTTATTATCGATATAGTTAGATTCCACCTTCATGATTATGGATCTGTGAGTGAATTGTTTTCTAACACGACCCTTTTATTTATATTAGGTCTTAACGTTTTTGCATAAATTAGGACGTGGTCACATTGAGTGACGGCTCTGTCAAGTGACTGCTGCTGCTAGCTTCTTGTCTCTCTGCTACCTGCTCCGTGAAGCTACAGGGACTCTGCCTGCTCAGCTCATCCAGGAAACACAACTTGTAGCCGGCCGTGGTTGTTTGTTCTTCATGCTTATATATCGGACTATTGTGACTCGCTCTGCGGTTGAAACAGACGGTGCATGAATGCGGTAAGTGAAATTCGAGTGCTTTATTTATGTGTTAATGATTTTAATCAGCTACGTAATGAATGTTAAGGCTTGGGTTAGCGTGTAGCGAGTGGTAGCTACATCGGTGCTAACGATGCTAATCGTAGCCTCCAAGTTCAAATAATAGACTGTATATATAAAGGTTAAAACGAAATAGAAGTTAAGTGGGATAATACTGTTGAACAAACGGCTTCTGTTTGAGGTTGATCAAATAAGGTCATCCTTGTAACGTAGAGAGATATTTTATTAGCCTATGTAGGTAGGAACTGTATGCATCGCTAAGGTTAATTTAAATTGGCTATGCTCAAGTATGTAGACAAGCTAACGTCAAAGTAGTGTATGTGAAATCAACCTCACAATAAGATGTGTATATTACAATTATTAATGTCATATTTCAAGATGATTACTTAGATATTACAATATGGTTGGTTGAGCTGGAGCATTATTGAGCTTACACGTTAATGTCACAGTCATCTGAAGAACGAACCCAAACCTTGTTGTTTTTATTAATTGCATTACCAAATGGGTATCAAATAAACAGTAAGCATTGGTAACACAACTTCCAAAGTTACAGTAAAATAAAAAGGACCCTGACTCGGACAATACACAACATGTTCAACAGAAGAGAATCAGTTATATTGTTTGTACACATGGTACTTTACATATATATCTGTTTGTTTAAGGTGTCCAGGTGATGCAGACAGGCTGGACCAGAGAGTGAGACAGAACTGGACTCCTCACAGCAGTGAACTTCAGCTCAGGTACAAAGACTCTTTTTTTCATACTGTACAAAGAATGAAGAAAGATATTGGTTTAAATGAATGAAGTATTGACTTGAATACACTGATATACATTCCATTAAACAATACTAAATACTAGATCACCTACACATCAGTTAAGTTGAGGGTTTTTTCCATGCAAAAAGTTACATTTAGATGTTAACAAGCAATATGATTTTGTCAGCTTTCTAATTTTATGTATTGAAGGCAAAGATATTTAACACATAGTGAGAACTGCTACTATTTATCTCTCAATATTGTCTGTAAAAAACGTGGTAAAAGTGATTCTTTCAGTGAGACAACAGAGCAAGCTTCTACAGTTGCACTACGTTTTGATAACAGTTACATATTATTTTGATGTTCATTCATAATCTGATTGTCTTTGTAGCTCACTGTTGAAATAAAAAAAAAAACATTACAATTACAAAATAATGATATCTACAGCCCCTAAACACACAAACACACCGCTTTCATAAATAACACACTTGTTCTGCAATAATATGTTTTATGTTTCCTGTCATTTTTGTTAGGAAAGGACATGCCTGAAAGACACGACATGTTCTCCTTCTCTGAGGGTCCAGAAGAACATCCAAGAGGAACATTAAAAGCTGATGTTATGAGATTTTAAGACCAGTACAGGACATTCACTAAGAAACTACTTTTATTGTGAAAACACAGTCAGCTGATCAAATGCAGCTATTTCCACATCTACACTCCATCAGCTGATTATTTCTATTTGCCTCGCTTTATGAGCTTCACATCACTTGTGCCTTGTACCGCAGAGTTTGCAACATCACAAATAAATGGGGCCAATCTCCAGTCCGATGTGAATGTGTAATCTAACATTTTCAGTAAGAATAATGGACAAAAGGAGTGCAAATACAAATACAATTTATTGAAATGTGAACCAAAAGTTAATCAAATGTTTTAAATAAAAAGCACATATGGACAGAAGGTGTAAACCTATTAAATGTATAAGTAAACACATTTAGTCAAATAAAGTGACAGACTAGGCCT